CAACTAAAGGGCTAGGCCAACACATGTTGAATGTAAAATAATAGCAATCCTTATTAAGTTCCGCAAATGATCCTTTTATTGCTGGTTGACCGTAAAGTTTGTTTAGATACTTTTGGCGAGAAACACTGTGCATTGTAAAGATTTACATGAGTTTAAATATGGGCATGATTTGGTCAAGGATGTTCAATGTGATATTCTAGAGTAGGCAGAAATTTTGTCTAAAAGGAGGCTTGAGTAAAGTTTATGATGGATCTGCTTGAAGGTAGGTACCCTATGGCTAGCTGATATTCTTCTATTTGGGCGCGGGCAGGGAGGAACATGCTTCCGTAGACCTTATAGGAGTGTCCTGTCTTATTACGTTCAGGGATAATGGGTTTGTTATTGGCCAAGTAGTGTTGGAAATAGAATCAGGCAAAGTCGTTGCGCTAAACACAAAAAAAATTGTTTAGTAAATCAACATGTGTTTATCCCATTTAATTAATTTGCTTTTGATACGTTTGATTTCCTAGCCCCGAAGGCCGTAAAATTCCTAACCAGGGTCCAATAGATCATGCATAGTAATTTTTAAACCCTAAACACATAGCTGTGTCTTTAGTAGGATCAATTTTGCTATCCTAAAAGGTCGCGGTGCAAGTTGTTGCTCGTTTACCAGTCACTTTTTTTAAATTAATTTATGGAGAGCTAAAAGAGTATTAAATTAATGATTAACCCGCATTTATTGTTCTTTCTTGAATTTTATTATGAATTCTAGATGTATCTACTCTAGTTTGTGTATTGTATACTTTGGTTTGGTTCCTTGACCCTTATAATAAGGATTGGGGGTTAATTACCTAGAAGGTGTCACCAATGCCGATAACGAGTGCATCAGAGTTAGGCCTCACAAACTTCCATTTGTTGTCGACGAAGACATGAAGGCCTTGAACTAAGTCATCTTGGTGGAGGATGGTGATGGAGTTAGGGTCACAATGGGGGCCGGTTCCCAGGGTCTGATCCGGCTCTTCGCAACGAGGGTAGAAGTTGAACCTCAACGTTGAAAACCCATCATCAAAGTAGTCCTTGTAGTATGAAGGGTCGATCCCTAGACTCCTTCCCAACATCTCGATGATCTCCATCGACAACTTGGTCATGGCTTCACAGTATTTTTGGTACACCAACCTGTCATATGGCTCTTCTCATTCATACGTTCAATTTGAATATTATTCTAAAGTGATTGGAAAAAGCATTGAGAGATTAAAAAAACTATAGTTTCAAAAAATTTTAAAAGTGAAAGTGGAAATTTTTCTTTTAATTTGACTCGGAAAACTTTGCCCTGAATATTTTTCTTATTCTAAGTTTCTAACTTAAATATTTAAATTTGGTGATTGAAATTTGGATGTTGAAAACGAGATTCCTTACTTTAATGCAACACTTTGATATTAATCTATTGATATTAAATGTATATCATAATTCGATGTGTTTTTTTCGTAATTTTTAGTCAAAGTAACATTAATCACAAAAATCAAAATGAAAAGAAAGATATAGGACTAGAGAGTGTGAATGGAATAGTCCGTACCCGGCATGCTCATATTCTGGTCCAAATGAAGATGTGAGGAAGTCAACGATGGCTAGATCGGTACATCTTTCGCGGAAGCCCAAAGTCAATGTCTCCTTCCACGGCAACAACGAAGTGAAACGCTCTGCATGGGCGCTCGAATAGCCGTACAAGCTACCACGCCGCTTCTGCGCCTTGAACTTCTCGGCAACCGGTAGCTTAAAGAAGGCCAAAGCACAAGGGCGGGCCTCGCGAATGAGGTCAAGATCAACGCCGTGATTTACCACTTGGAATAACCCGTGGCTTAGACAGGCTTCCCGAACGAGCTGGCATGCCGTTTCTGCCTCATCCCCGCCCCCGAAGTAGCTCTCGAGGTCAATTACGGGCTCGTTGAGCTCTTCGTGGGCGGGTGCTAGATCTTCTTCTGGCCAAAGGAAATCTTTGGTGATCTTGAGGTTGTCTTGGTGCTGGGAAGCCATGGTGAAAACTAACACAATTACACGAGTTATAGTAGGAAAATGTGAATTGGTGGATGGGCAAAGGAATAAACGTGTATAGCGCGCCTATTTATACTTCATTTTTTTAAACCCATACATTCACCGTAGAGCGAACACTGGAGTCTGCATGGAGACATTTCACATTTGTATTCTTTCTCCTTTAAGAAAACAAAAGAAAAGAAAAAATAGCAATCTTTTAAAAGCATTTGCTTTCCAAGTTTCCAACAATAGCATTCTATCATCCTCTTATAATTGGTTGTCATCTCATCAATGCATTTTTTTCAAAATATTAATAAAATTAAAGCAATGTTCCAAATTTGAATTGTTGAAAAAATAAGGAGTAAGCAAATTCTAATTTGCGTCTGGGTGCCAACCCAAAAATCTATTAAGTCTCCGTTTGATACTTGAAATTGAAAATGAAAAGGAAATTAAATTGGATGGAATCGAATTCTAATTCAATTCCAAATCTTTTGTTTGGTATAATTAAGGAATTCATATAGAATTGTTTTATAATTACAAATTCTTTGTTTGGTAATAATACAAACTTGTGTTTGTCTATTTTTCCGAATGACAAATTTAAATTATTTGAATTTTCAATTTAATTTTTAAATTTTAAGTTTTAATTTTAAAATTTTAATTTTCAAATTTTTACTTTATAATTTACAATTTTAAATTATAAAATACAGAGTAAGCAAATTCTACTACCTATGTCTCTGAGTATTGGTCCAGTTTTGACTTTTTCCAGTCAACTATTTTCAATATTTGACCTATAATTAATTAAATAAAATATATATTATATATTAAGTAGATAAAATAATATTTTGAAAATGGATGATATAATAAATTAAATAAAACTAACTTTTTATCAATGTCTAATATCATTTTTGTTTAATTTAAAGTCAAAGTTTTCCAATTTTGACCAAAATAATTAAAAGTGGACAAATACTCAAAGACGGAGGGAGTAATATGCATCTTGGTGGAGTTGGTGCACTCATTAATCAATTAATATTCTTACCTAATTAACTGCATAAGCATTACATTGCATAATTAAACATTTACTTAAGGCATTCTTTTACTTAAGGTAATTAATAAATACATTCTACAATTGTTAAGCCTATCCGACCGAAATGCCTATGAAAGTGGCGTGAATTGAGTTGGCAATGCCATGTCATCACGTGATCCTCAGGAACATTGCCCCATTTGTGCGTACTCAATCCTTGAGACTTGAATTCATAGAATGTTGATATGTTACGAGTCTATTTGGCGAGTTTTTTATGAGTTGGACTTTAATAACTTGACACTTTTATATTAAATTTGGAAATATGCTGTAGAAAAGAAGAGAGAAAATATTTCGATATATATTGAATTGGCTTCTAAATTGGTTTTGAATACAAAGATCTAACCCTCTTTATATAGGAAAAGGCTAACGTAAACAAGGAAATTTCTATTCTTACTAAAATAAGAATTAAATAAAATAGGAAAGATACTAAATACTAAACCTAATCCAACTAGGGAAGATACTAAACCTAATCCCAAAGGGATTCAGTTTCCTCTTCTTCAATCCTAGCTATTTCCTTCTTCTATCTCTAACATATCAAGTTCTAATTAATATGCCTAAAATATACTACCTTATACTGCGGCTAGAATATAATTACAAAGTAGAAAAATAAGAAGATAATTATGAGTTATTTTTAATTTTTTCTAATGTATTTTGATTAATTATAATGAGTACAATGTAAAAAACACCATATTTCTTTCTATTGATAAAATATGTTTAATTTATTTTTTTTAAATTAATTCTTTCATTGAATAATAATAATAATAATAATAATAATAATACGTTGTAAGTTAGAACAAATTAAAAATTTTAAAAAAAGGAGAAAGACTATAATAGAAGTAAAATATAAATAAAGTATCCAAATTACTTATTTTGACATCTATCTCAATACTTCACCGTTTTAAATTAGAGGAGTTAGTATTGCTACGTTAATCTTAAAAAATTATTACTGTCATTTGAGTTTTACTTTCATCTTTTCTTATTACTAGTTTTTTAACCCGTGTCGTGCACGGGTGGAATGAAATTGTTTTTTATTCTACAATATCAAATATTTAAACAACTTGATTTTTTATGTTATATACCATTTTGACATCCTATTTTTCAATTTCAATTGGAGCTATGGAAAATCAAGTTGACGATACATGGACGAGATCAGCTAGAGATGCAAGAGAAAGAGAAAAGGAAAATTTCAACAAAAAAAAGGATAGAAAAGGTACGTACTTTAAATATTGTTTTATCTTAATGTATTAAATTTTGTTTAATTGTTTTAAGGTAATTTGATACATAACATTTTTGAATTTTTTAATATAACAAAATCAAACGGGATATTTTAGTGACCAGAATTTTTGTATTTAAAATTTATATGGTTGCTTTTTAATGAGCATTGAAAAATTCTCTTATCTTCATATCTAAATCGTTAGTATAGATAAATTAATTTATGTTAAATAAATAAAGTTTAATACAAAATTTAAAATTAGATGTCAATTTTAGAAGGATTTAACAAATTCTCTATGTGAAAATGAACACTCCAAGAAAAAATAAAAATATGTGTACTTTTTTTTTATTATAGTCATGTTATTTTATCAATATAATCTGCATCCGTAAAAAAATTAAACGCCGTTCATAGGTTTCATAGAAATCATGGATAATTAAAATGTATAATTATTTTTTATCAATTTTATATTTACATCAATAGGAATAAAATGGTGTCTAACCATGACTCTTTAATTTCATTTTTCTGTATTTTTTATGAAAAAATAATTTATACATATTGAATGTTTTAAACAATTGAATGGACGAATATTAACAAAGTTGAGTAAAAATATATTCATATTTAAAAAATTTTTAAAAAAATTCAAAACTTTGCAATAAATTTGATATGAAATTGGTGAATATAAAAAAATGTGCGTACATATTTTAAAATAAAATGATATGCATGCGAGGGAAAAAAAATTAGGCATTGATACAGAATGATCAATGTAAATAATTCAAAGTTAAAATATAATTTTTAAATTAGAAAATTTACTTCTATCTAACACATAATTCATTTATCAAAATGGCAACTAAGTTGTGTTTAACTGAAATAATTGATACTCCATATATATATTCATAGTCAGAGGAATTTACCTAAATAACACTAAAACATAATGACTTTTCCTAAATAGCAACATATTTTTTTATTTCCTAACGTAGCACTTTTAGTCATTATTTAGATAAATGTTCACTGTCACAGGATATTATTTCTCCTTCTAGACATTATTAAGTGTTATTTAAGGGATAAAAAATTTAAGTCTTATATTGGAAAAAAATGACCTTTGTTTTAGTGCTATTTACTGCAGATATGAAAAATGAAAAATTTGAAAAAATATATCGGGAAAAAGTTTGAAAAATCAAAAATGAAAAATTTGAAAAATGAAAAATTTGAAAAATGAAAAATTTGAAAAATTTGAAAAATTTGAAAAATTTGAAAAATTTTAAGTTTTATATTGGGAAATGACTTCTGTTTGAGAATATGAAAAATTATTCTTTTTTTTTTGAGGATAGAGCATTATTGGCACCAACTCTCGAAGTAGTTGAAATGATAAATGAATTTGTTCTGTCCCTCATTCTTGGTGATGAAAAGGAGTACTTGAGTTTTGATTCTTCGTGCCAAGCAGAAGCAGATGTAGGTGTTGATGGCGATTAGATAACAGTTGAGTTTTTGAACGAAATCAAATGTTCGGAAATCCCAAACTACAAAATAGTCTTGAAAAAAGGGATACCGATTATGCAATTGAAGAACATTGACCAAACATCTGGATTGTGTAATGGGACAAGATTAATCATTCAAGACCTGCGAAATAATGTTATTGGTGCAATTGTGGTTTCGGAAAATCGAGTCGGGGAAAAATTTTATATCCCTAGAAGGAATTTGGTACCATCTAATCCAGGGTTACCCTTGAAGTTTCAAAGAAGACAATTCCCGATCGCCTCATGTTTCGCTATGACTATCAACAAAAGTCAAGGTCAAACATTGTCATTTGTGAGATTAGTTTTAACCAAGTCAATGTTCACACACGGTAAACTATATTTTGCTGTTTCACGAGTGAAGACAAATACATGATTAAAAATATTAGTTCAAGATGACAATGGAAACTCTTGCAACCATACCAAAAATGTTGTATACCCAGAAGTCTTTCAGAAAATTTGGTATTAAAATAAACATTGTTAACTCTACATTCTGCTCCTCAAATACTCCTTATTATTTATTTTACTTTGGATTTTTTTATTTGTAGTATTAAAAATCATGCGAGCAATATATTTTCTTTATTCCGAAAAAATAAATTTCATTGAAATAATTTAGAATCGACATAAATTTCTTTCGATCCCGTGCATGGCACGGGTCAGAATACTAGTTATATAAAAAAAGGAGAGTTGAACTCTCAGAATCGCGACATTTGGCATGTTGACTGGAAAAGAACAGAAAGTTGTGAAAATAAGTTCAAGAATACTCAAAGAGTCAATATTTTTTCAAAATGAACAAAAATATTTAATATTCATTTACTTTTCCGTCACATCCAATTACCTTTCTGTTCGTTATTCAATTAAATTAAATAAAACGAGGGTAAATTATTCAATTAGCTTTCCGTTCATTATTCAATTAAACATACTTGAATCTCAAGTATGTTTCAAGGAAGTCATGCTAACAACCAAGCTAGCAGCTCACCCTAATTGTTTTAAAAATTTAAGACCAATTTTTGTTCTATTTTGAAATAAAAAGATTACACTCTTATTTTGGATATGTTTTACTCATATTATTTTTTTGTTGGAAAGTGTTACCAAAAAAACTAGAAATCATCAAAGTGACAACTTCTTTTGTGGTTATTAAATTCATGCTCATTTTATCATGGCACGATTTTTTTGGTCTGGCCTGGGAGGGACTCGACGCTACCATTGGGGATCTTGGAAGACTCTGGCACGACCAACGAGGGAAGGTGGGGTCGGCTTCCTTGATTTTATGACTTTGGCTAAGTCTTGTTCGGCTAAGCTCTGGTGGAACTTTAGGACACAGGACACTATTTGGACGGCATTCATGAGGGCTAAGTACTGTAGTCGCGTCCATCCTGTGTCCAAGCAGCGTATTAATGATGATTCGCACACATGGAAACGCATGCTAGATGTTCGAGCCGTGGTTGAGCCTGTGATTCGATGGCGTGTACTCTCTGGCACGTCTAACTTCTGGTGGGATACATGGTCCGGACTGGGTGCCTTGCATCGCCAGGTCGATGGCTGCAGTGGGTACTGGAATGATGGAGTGGGTGATATGTATCGCTCTGATTTTATGATTGACCATGATGCTCTACCCCCTGATTTATTACGGCAGTTGCGCCTTGAGCTGCCATCTCTTGTTTCTGATCATGTGGATATTCCGGTCTGGACCCCGTCTACGGATGGGAAGTTTACTCTTGCTTCTGCTAAGGAGCTTCTTAGACCGAGGAGGAATGATGAGGTGGAGGACATTGTGCTTAAGAGGTGTTGGCAGAAACACTTACCTTATAAGATGTCCTTTCTTGCATGGCGCGTTTTGGAGAGGCGCCTTCCCACTGATGATGTCCTGGCGAGATTTGGCTTTGCTTTGCCTTCTCGGTGCTTATGTTGTTCGCCGCCAGGACGGGAGACCATTACACACATTTTCTATCATGGGAGCATGGCGCGGCGTGTTTGGACTTATTTCACAGAGTCTGC